CACTTCTGTGTATCTCTCAGCAGCTTCTGCATCGCAGGTTTTTCCACCCCAATTTTTCCTGATGTTGACTGCAGAAAGATGAAAACTTCCATCACACCATTATGATGGACTTACTTGGGCAATGATAGGCCTGTGAGATTACTGACAATATGCAATCTGCTTCACATAACACTGGAAATAGAATCAATATATCTGGAAGGGCACAAGGTCTGCTGAATACCTCCTCTTGAAATCTGGCTTTCATGTATGACACAATGCAGTCTGTTAGTTCCATTCACCATCCATGGGGGGTTTTAGATGTGTCTTGCATAGTATTCATGCTTGGGGTGGATGAGGTCAGAGTTGTATAATGGGCAAGCTGCTTGCAGCTTGTTGGAAAATTATGGCATGTTGGGATGCTTGCCTCAATATTTTACTGTGATCTTATCAATATGTTGTGATGCTATACATGCTGTTGGTGTTGGGCCTGTCTTATGTTGTGACAGGGGTGGATCTTACTAGATGGACCCATCCTTGTTTTATGGCAATATAAAAGATATTACTGAAGGGCCCATCCATATGTTATGACCATATAAATAATACTGCTGAAGGGCCCATCCTTATGTTGTGACAGGGGTGCATCTTACTAGACAGGCCCATCTATGTGTTGTGACACTGTAAATGATATAACTGATGGGCCTGTCTTTATGTTGCAACATGCATATGTGTTGCTATTGATGGGCCTGTCCATGTGTTGTGACCATGTAATTGATATTACTGATGGGCCCATCCTTATGTTGGAACAGGGGCATATCTTACTAGATGGACCCATCTATGTGTTGTGACACTGTAAATGATATTACTGATGGGCCTGTCTTTATGTTGTGACAGGCATATGTGTTGCTATTGATGGGCCTGTCCATGTGTTGTGACTATGTAATTGATATTGCTGAAAGGCCCATCTTTATGTTGTGACATGGGTGCATCTTACTAGATGGGCCTGTCCATGTGTTGTGACCCTGTAAATGATATATATTGAAGGGCCTGTCTTTATGTTGTGACAGGTACATCTTACTATGGACCAGCCCACCCATGTGTTGGATGGTATAAATGGTATTATGGAAGGGCCTGTCCATATGTTGTGATGCTATAAATGACATTACTGATGGGCCTGTCTATATGTTGCAGCATCCTTACCCTCCACAGGCCCTCCCATATGTTGTGGAATTGCACTTACAGGCCTGTACATATGTTGCTCTCACTATAGGCCCTCAGGCCTGTCCATGTGTCATGGCTAATCTATTTAGACAGGCCCACCACAGGGTCTATATAAGTGTTGGCATTTTGGCATGCAGGCTACCTATATCTTGTAACTAAATGGACTACATGGGGTCCTCCTGGCCCATTGTTGCCAGGACCATCATCACTGGGGTCATCACCACCAAGATTGAATTCATCTGGTTTGTCTGGGTCTGGTTCATCATCTGGATCATTAGTGGGTGCAGGAGGTTGATTAGAAGTGGGAGTGGTAGACTTGTGGGCTGAGAAGCCCCTGAAGTTGTTGACTTCACTGGGCAACCTTCTGGCTGTCCCTATGGACACCAGGGCAGTGGTGCAGCATAAGTTGATAGCTGAGGTGGAATCTGGATTGGTGGTAGCACATGCCTGTGGTGCTTGAGTTCTAGTTTGAGTTGGCATACTGAGGAAGTATTGCTGAGGCTTGGACAGAAGGGTAGTGACCCACACAAGTGTGAGTCTGAAATACTGTTAGGTCCAGGTCTTCACCAGTCCAAAGCTGGTCCAGAGTCCAGTTGGGGGTCAGAGGGTAGACAAGAAATTAGAGGGTTGGACTGTTGGACTTAGCAACTGAAGGTGCAGCACTGTTCCCTTGCATGGGCCATAGTCCAGTCAAGAAGCAGAAGACAGAGAGCAGAAGGGACTGGGTTAAGGTGGGACTAAGTTGATTTCAGACTGAGGCTAAACAGATTATCCTATGGCTTAAATACTAGAGGTAACCCAAGTGTAATGTAGCACCAGAGACTAGTCTGTGCTGGTACAGTGATGATTGGTAAACTGATTGGTAAGTAATGTTACAAAGAATAAGAATATTATCAAGCAAGACTATGAACAACGGATGACTGGGAACTTGGGCAGGACTAGTGGCTGGGCTGGGTATTACACTGGCCTGGTACCAACTGAGCAGACAACTCAACTGGGCACTGCCTTGCAGTGCCTCACAAACTAACATGTTTCTGGGTTGAAGGGTTAAGGCTGGGACTGGGGCAAGGGTTGGATGAGACTGGTTGAGACCAGGGTAGAGCTGGTCTAGGGTGGTTGAGGCATGGTTGTGACAATGCCCCAGTCATCCCACAGTCCACAAAAGCTCAGACACATGATGTGAGTCAAAGTGTGGTTCAGTGGTGGAAACCAACCAAAACCAACACAAATGACAATAAGAGCAAGTGGTGGTGTGCCTATGCAGTATCTAGATGTGGAACCTGTTATCTGGGTGAGTTTTTACAAGCTATAACACTCAAAGATGAGTGCTGAAGGTTGGGGGTGCTCCTGACAAAGAAGGAGCAGGAATGCAAGAGGAAGTGATAGGGTAGACTGCTGTCAGCCTACAGAAGGATGGATGACAACTTAATTCAATGTCCTAAGCTGCACTGAGCTCAGGGAGGACTTGGAGCGAAGTATATTGATGATAGATGATGATAAGCAAAGTAGACAATAGCTAGACCCTTAATAAAGTCTCAACTATTGAAGCTGATGAATGATTTCACTGAGAGATGATAAAATGCAAGCAAGAGGGGCTCTCTGATGTCTTCTTCTTTTGCTATCTAAGTACAGTGATTTATATACAGTACAGGGGTGTTGCCTATGGAAAACAAGGTGCAAACACTTGGTAAGTGATTGGTAACTGATGAGTAAGGAATGTAAGCAATGGGTAATTGTCTTAGAAAGCATTGGTGAGCATTGGTAAGGACAAGTAAGCCAAAAAAAAACAAAGAATCAGTAAGCAAAGTCAAAAGATTGGTAAGTATTGGCAATAGGTGAGTCAAGGACAGTCAGAATGTCAAAGTATGAGTCAAGTAATGTCAGAAACTGGGGAAGCACACTGGAATCACATTAGGGGGAGGCTGTGCATGTCACATCTTGAAGAGATTGCTTCTAGGCCAAGGTGGGATGACAGAGAGGCAATGCTGATCTGATGCTGATATAGTACATCCAAAAGCAGACAGGGTGAGTCAGATGTCAACAGGGGTCAAGCTTTGGGGGTCTGTGGGGTGACAGGAGCATAGGGGATCACAACTTTCCCCCCCAAACCATCCTCTCAGTGAAGCAAATCAAAATTCATGAATGAGGCTCTGTTGGAAGAGAGGATGAATGGGGAGTGTCTTCTGCTGTATCTTGCAATAAGAAGGCAAGATGTGCATCATACTCATCATGGATGTGATCAAGGAGAGTGGAGAACAGTAGAGTATACTGTAGCTGTTGCAATTTTGGAAGAATGACAGATGAGATTGGTATGAAGACATTGCAGGGAGCAGGGAGGAAGGATCCATATGCTTCTTGGACTGGAGAGACTGAAATGATCACATAAGACCTTTCCAAGTGAATGACAGACTTGAAGCATCCAAGGAACATCCTCCTAGAGGTCATCATACTGACAAAAAGAATGCACTGTCCAAGCTGGATGGGCTGAGAGGGGGCAGACAATGATGGGATGTACCAGGACACTTCAGGATGGAAGCTGGTAGGAACTCCTGGTAGATATACATAGGCATGGTCCCTAGCAAAGGGGACAAGTGAAATGATTGATGTGGAGGTGGCCATATCAGAAGAATTAGTGAAATGAGCATCTTTTGGAGGGAGTGCTGTAGAAACATGTGGAGTGCACAGATCCTTTCCAATTTTGGAAGGCAGGATCACATGGCTGAGCACTACAAGTGGGTGTGGGAATGGTGTCAGTATCTGCAGAAATGGCAGAGATATGTCAAAAACTGGAATGCCATGCATGGGCACTTAAGAACTTTTATTGGTGCTTAACTCACTTCCTTCCTTTTTCTCCTTGGCATTGATGACTGCCAATGTCCCTGGCTGTCATTCTTCACATGAGGGCTATAGGCTTCATCTCCATTCATCAGCAGTATCCATGTCCACCTCACCAAACACCTTTGGTGTGTGACACTGGTCTTGGAGCATGCACAGGGGGAAGCTGGTCTGGGGTTGGATCTACCTCCCTTGGTCTCAGCTTATGTGCTGTACCCTTATGCAAGCTGGGGAGAGGTCCAGGATGGGGGCTGGGGATAGCTTAAGGCTTGGCCTTAGCTGTAGGGTAGACTTGGAGTGTAGTACAGAGCTGAGGGTAATACTTAGTTGATATTCTGACTGAGGTGCTACAAAGTATGTACAGAGGTTAAATACATGAGGCCAGTCCAGGGGGATGAACACAGAGCTGGACTTGTTAATAAGCTATTAGCAAGGTGATTAGCAAGGGAGGACAGCCATGGGGGCTGTTCTGAGACTAATCATTACAGTCTGGGTGACCAGCATAACTGGAGTTGGACACAGGTTTTGTACAGTAAGCAGAGTTAGATGAGAGGACCAAGCTAAAAATAGTATAAACAATGGAAAACAGACTGGAGTTATGTCCAAGTGATCCAGACATGGACCTGGGAGGACTGGGGTGGAGCAGTGCAAGGCCAGGAGGCCAGAGTGGACCAGAGATAGGGGTAAAACACTGGACTTGAGTTATCTAGGCCAGAGTTGGGTTGTTCAGGGCTGGAGTTGTGTTTTCTAGGTTGGACTAGGACTGGGCTTGACTGGAGATAGGGGCTGGGGCCTGGAGTGGACTGGGCTTGAGTCCAACAGTCATGGATATGACATAGTCCCATATCCAGACATGCTACTCTTTCTATTGACCATCTACAGACTTTATTGGCTTTTTGACTCCATCAACAGCTTGTTTGCTGAAAAAATCTCTGAATAATAGCTCCATAAATAGTAAAAATATGCACTTACACATCCAATGCTGAATGATGATTTTGATAATAGCTTCACATAAACTATGTATATCACCATTATGGCCATGAAAAGCTGCCTTGATACCTTTTGAAATGCCAGTCCCTATATTGGAGTTGTTGTATTCCTCCACTGCCAATGACAAAACCTCCTGCCAAAGATGGTGCCCATGCTGCATTAAAAAGTAAGAATGCTCAGCAACAAGCAATCATCCTAGGACAATGAGTATATTTTGTACAGGTAATGGGAAACACTTACCAATGGCATGTTCAGCCACTGACCAGAGAGTTAGGAACTTCTCCAACAAAGTGACATCTTTGGGAAGAGCTGGCATTTGGATGGCAGTATTGACATCAAATTTTGTCTGTTATTTTATATGTTTGCCATAGACCAAAAAGAGATAGAAAGCCAATGCTTACAAGCTAAGAAATGTAATGATATGTTTGTGACAAACATGCTCACAGCATGGGTGAATGAGAAATGTGGCCAGTTATGGCTGCTATGAGGCTGCACACCTCCTGCCAATGAAGAGGTCATACCAAGGGCAACACACAATGATAATCAACCTATACACTCAAATAACCATGCAATCACTCACATTCTGTCATATAAGGTAATTTAGGAAATGCCTAAAATTCAGCAAACCCTACAAACAAAATCACAGAACCACTCACCAGCTACAAGTGGAACCCAGAGGATACAAGTCAAGGGAATCAAAAAAGATCCAGCATTGGACAAAATTCACACACATCTGCCATACCATCAACATGAACAGTGCAAGGAATTGCACTAAGCAGGCATCCAGCTAAACATGCCATGCAACCACTCATGTCCTGTCATGCCACCAACATCAACAGTGCAAGTGAAGCCATTGAGCAGACATCCAGCTACACATGCAATCAAATCACTCACATCCTGTCATGACACCAAAATCAACAGTGCAACTGAGGACATTGAGCAGACATCTAATTAAATAAATGTGCCAGCCAATCACTCACTTCCTGTCATGCCACCAACATCAAGAACCAAGGAAGGCTATTGAGCAGACATCCAGCTAAACATACCATCAAATCACTGACATCCTGGCATGCCACCAACATGAAGAATGCAGTAAGGCCATTGAGCAGCCATCCAGCTAAACATGCCATAAAATCATTCATGGCCTATCATGCCAGCAATATCAAGAGTGAAAGTGAAACCATTGAGAAAACATCCAATTAAACATGCCAACAAATCACTGACTAGCTGTCATGCCAGCAACATCAAGAGTGCAAGGACATCCAGCTGAACATGCCAACAAATCACTCACCCCCTGTCATGCCACCAATGTGAAGAGTGCAAGTGAGGCTATTCAGCAAACATTCAGTTAAACATACTATCAAATCACTCACATCCTGTCATGCCACCAAAATCAACAGTGCAAGTGAGGCCATTGAGCAGCCATCCAGCTAAACATGTTATGAAATCACTCACCTGCTGTCATGGGACAAACATCAAGAGTGCAAGTGAGGCAATTGAGCAGACATTCAGCTAAATGTGCCATCACATCACTCACTCACTGACATGTCACCAGCATCATGAGTATCAGTGAAGGCATTGAGCAGAGATCCAGCTAAGCATGCCTTGGAATAACTCACTAGTTGTCATGTCACCAACATTAAGAGTGCTAGTGAGGGCATTGAGCATACACCCAGCTATTGATGCCATCAAATCACCCACCAGCTGTCATGTGTCACCAACACAAGAGTGCAAGTGAGGCCATTGAGCAGAAATGCAGCTGGACATGCCATCAGATCACTCACCCTCTATCATGCCACCAACATCAAGAGTGCATTTGAGGCCATTGAGCAGAGATCCATCTAAACATGCCTGAAATCACTCACCCACTGTCACCCACCAACATCAATAGTGCAAGTGAGACCATAGAGCAGGCATCCAGCTAAGCATGCTAGAAACTCACCCTCTTCCATGAACCAGCATCAAGAATGCAAGTGGAAGCATTGAGCAGAGATCCAGCTAAACATGGCAGTAAATCACTCACCCACTGTCATGTCACCAACATCAAGAGTGCAAGTGAGGGAAATGAGCAGTCATATAGCTAAACATGCCATCAAATCACTCACTAGCTGTCTTTCCACCAACATCAAGAGTGCAAGTGAGGCCATGGAGCAGACATCCAACCAAACATGACATCAAATCACTCACCCACCATCATACCACCAACATCAAGGGGTGAGTGAGAGCATTGAGCAGTCAGCCAGCAAAACATGCCATGAAATTATTCACACCCTGTTATACCACCCATATCAAGAGTTCACATGAGGTCATTGAGCAGAAGTCCAACTTGGTGTGCCATAAAATCACTCACATACTGCCATGCCACCAATATCAAGAGCATGGATGAGCCCAGTCAACAAATCCAGCATGTCATAATCACTCACACTCTGTTAATACATACAAGGGAACACAAGATGAGAGCATCATTGACTCTGTATGTCAGAAGAATTTTATCACCCACCTCGCAATTGGGAAACCATTTCAACAAGTCACTTGCCAACTCTTTTGCATCCACTTGCAATCTTCCCATGAAACCTAGCTCCATTGTTTCTCAATGTCCTTTTAGAAGATCAGTATCTGCCCCCAAAACACACTTGCTTACTTACTTGCACAGAGCAAATTGAACACATAGCACAATACTTGACTGCTGTGTTGATATGAGTAACCTTTGTAAACCTTCCTCATTCAACACATTTGCTGTGCACTGCATCAAAGCACTGCAGTCTGCACTCTCTTGATGCATCTCTGCCACCAGGATTTTCTAGTAGCACTATCTCTGAATGATGAAATACCCACTCTGAAGTGATACATATCCTTTAGGTAGGACTGCCAAGCTCCTGTTTTATGTAGCCAAGCCATCTTCCCAACAGTTCTCCCTGCTTTTCTGCTGCCCTTTCCTCTGCCTCAGTTATGGCCAAACCTTGACCCATAAGCTCCATAATTGCAGTGAGGTTCAAGGCATCCACCTTTGTCAACACCACTATCACAGGAACTAAGCAGATGGTTAGTCACAAGCAATCATATTTGTAGAAGCACCCTTCCCACCATGTCCTGTGTAACACTCATTAAAGAATTTCTGCTCAGCTGCAGTTACTGTTCTGTCATGGTCTGTCATGGGGATGCAAAACCTACATTCATTTGTTCACCCTTGAAGTGGCTACACAATCAACCATGAAGTCCTTCATTTGGTCAAACTCTTCTATAGCCCCTGCTTCAAACCCACAAGAATCATGGAGCACAAAGCCTGGGTTACTCCAAAAAATGAGTTCATGCTCAATCCTGTGGTAGCCATGCTGGGAACACTCAGCATTCAAATGAATTGCCATGAGCCAACATGCCATCTTAATGCCAAAGTGCTTTGCACAATAGTACAATCAATCTGAAAATTGTTAGATACATGTTACAGAATTCTACTGACCCTATAGAATTATACCTTGTTTCCTTTGCCATCAAAGACCTCTGGCTTATCTGTAGAGTTGCACACTCTTTGAAGGATGGTGGTTTTTCTGGCATTCACTCTGCCCATGACCAGAATTCAAAAGTGCTCTATTTTTTTCATGTATTCTTGAGCCATCTCAGAATTGAGATGGTAAGCAGGACCTGAAGACACAGTTGCTGTGACTCAGCATTAGACAATTCAAATTTCCCAAAGAGCGACAATAATACCTTGCAGAGTAGCTTGAACCTAAGGGGGAACTAGATTTGCCACATCACCAACAAGATCTCTAGCTTCTGTGTCCCCATATCAAGTACATCATATTCTGTAGGCTAGAACAATATCATACCTGCAGCCATAGCTTTGGTTGCAGCAGGAGCTAAATTGCTTGGATTGTTTTGGTGGGCATGATGCAAATCACTGCTGCACAACTTGAACCACTTCTTAATATGACTAGTAGCCATGTAAATGTGAGATTCAATTCTGCATACTTCACAATGCCAAACTTCAGGCATGTGGAGGCACTCTCACACAACAGATTTTGGAGAGTTAATGACAGGTCTTAATGTAGTAGAACATGTAAAGACTGCACCTGCAAATTAATTCAACAATTTTTAGAAGGAAAAACTTGAAGTTTTCATGAATGCCTCAATGTTTACCAATACTTCAAGTTTATGCACATGTATTGGCAGTGTCAGAACATCAATTTTAGCTTCAAGTTTGGTAGTGGTTTGAATGTGCATGCAAACTTCTGATTTTGTCTTCACATTGTGACTTCAACAAAATGTCAAGAATGGACTATGTTTCTGTGTTGACCAAGATTCCAAATATGCACAAACAATAAAGACTCTGCCTAATTTTGAAGTTTGGGACAAGGACAAAATGTTGATTGAAATGTAAAGTATTATGTACAGTTTATATGAATTGCCCATTGGTTGCCCACCCATCACCCCAATCACCACCCATCCCTCTGGTCACCCAAAATCACTATCATTTTACTTCAAGCACCCAATTTCTGTCAACAACAGCAATGACAACTTGTCATATCTATGACTCTCGGACTCAAGCCTGGTCCAGTCCAGACCCCTAGCCCCTATCTCCGGTCAAGTCTGGTCCTAGTCCAGCCTAGAAAACCTAACTCTGGCCCTAAGAAACCCAACTCTGGTCTAAATAACTTAAGTCCAGTAATTTACCCCTATCTCTGGTCCACTCTGGCCTCCCAGCCTTGCACTGCTCCACCCTGATCCTCCCAGGTCCATGTCTGGGTCACCCAGACATAACTCCAGTTTCTTTTCCATTGTCTGTACTATATTTAGCTTTGTCCTTGTCTAACTCTGCTTACAGTACAAAACCTGTATCCAACTCTGGTTATGCTGGTCACCTGGACTTTGACTATTAGTCTTGGCACAGCCTCCATGGCTGTTCACACCTTGCTAATCCTCTTGCTAATAGCTTATTAACAAGTCTGGCTCTATTTTCATTACCCCAGACCAGCCTCATGTATTTAACCTCTGTACATACTTTGTAGCACCTCAGTCAGAATATCAACTTAGTGTTACCCTCAACCCTGTAATACCCTCAAGTCTACTCTATAGCTAAGGCCCAGCCTTAAGCTATCCCTGGCCCCTGTCCTGGACCTCTCCCTGGCTTGCATAAGGGTACAGCACATAAGCTGAGACCAAGGGAGGTAGATCCAACCCTGGACTGGCTTCCCCTTGTGTGCACTCCAAGACAAGTCAGTTTCCCACACTACTGGCCTTGTTCCCATGCTCCTGGTCTTAATTCCAGACCTCTGGACTTAACCCCTGACCTCTGGCCTTAACTCTGGTCCAACCAGACTTGGCCCCTGTCTCCTGGCCTTGACTCTGGCCACCCAGACTGGGCCCCTGTCACCTGGTCTTGAAGCCTGGTCACCTGAGGGTAAACCCATACTTCACACAACTGGATTTTATACTATGTGAAGGCCTACAGATTAGTCCTGCATGAAAGAGTTAATGGAAATATCATTGGGTGAGAGGACAAAATTGCTCACCCAACAAAGAGACAGAATGACAATGCAATCATCTGTGACAACCCACCTGGAAAAGTGTCTGACAACCCATGATAATTCAACAGTTTCCAAGTGGTTTGAGAGTGCAGAAGAGTATGACTTGGTGGGAAAGTGGGGGTAGGCAGCAAATGGATCTGATTCTGTAGCATGAGGCAGCAAGGAATATCCCAGTACAGCAAAGACAAATGCCCTGTCACAACCATAGATAAACTTGATAGTGCCAGGGATGGGTGAACATTTGTAGTCACCTTTTGGATAGAATAGAATAAGCAAGTTGCTGTCATGAGTTGAGAACCTGCTGTACATGGTATTGTCAAGTTTGAGGTGGGCATGTAGGACTACATGTCACTGTTGGGTTAGTTCAAACAAGTCCTTCAGCATCACTACCAGCTTATCACTGTCAGGCACTTGCATTCCAGCATCCAATGTGTCTCCATGGGTCTCTCAACCTCCATCTGTGGTACTGTATGCATGATCAAGAAGAAGTTTACATTCATGGATAGCAGGGGGGCAGTGAGGTCAAGACAACCAACTACAAAGTCTTCCAGCCTTCAGATATGGCTGAATCATTGTTTTCTCCAGCTCTCCTGTTTGTTAGATTCAGTTTTCACATTCTATGGCTTAATCTGTCAATCACAAACCTGTCTGGTAGTTGGTCAGAAGACATTGCAGCACCCCAATCAACTGCTCAAATGGAAGGCACCACCATGATTGCACAGGTCCAAAGAGTAGGAGGTAATCATATATATGAAATGATGTGTGGTGATTGGGTCATGCATCAAGTGTAGGATAGAGATCCTTCAGCTTTCCAACATAGCTGGCAATATACATACATAGGCATGATATGCAGAAGCTCATGAAGTACTCATGGTCTGAGTGCAGGCAAGATTGATGGCAGAAATGATATCCATTGTGTGATTGAGAATTGCCTTAAGGTCTGTACCATCATTGGAACAGTCATTACTTGTACCCCAAGGATTGATTGAAACTAGAGGAAGATAAACCATAATCAGTGAGCACCATTCATCTGCCTTGATAGTGCCAGTGGACACATTTCCAAAATTGCTGGGAACAGAGCCTAACCACAATGGCATCACAATGTCATGAATAACTTTGCAAACTTGATTCAACACATCTGACTTGGCAAACTTGCCAGGTAAGTGCTGTAATGCAGACAAGGGCATCTGCAGCCACTGAGTATACATCACATCAGCTGCAGGACACATAGTAAGATCAGGAACAACTTACCCAAGCAACAAGCACCTTGGCATAATCAGCTTTGAGAACTTTACCACTCTTTGAGGGAACACACCCTAAGCTCTGGCAAACAAATTTCAGAGGGTGAGCATTTTTGTGGACCAGTGACTCCTACAAGTCAATCATGAAGGAATCAACAGCTGTGTTCTCATCATATGATGGGACCAGTGAAACAAGAAGCTTGTGAAGTGTCAAGACTTGTGTGATCTCCTTTGTTATCATGGACAGTGCCTCAGGGGTACCAGGGATGACCCACTTACACTCATAGTGAAATGCAGGAATTATGGAGTGCACAGCAGAAGAAGTCTCTGTGGTTAACCCAAGTAGGCTGCACACATGATTCTATGACAAGTTGGCAAGTGGGGTCCCAATATGGCAAATGCCACAGTTCTGAGTAGAAGACACCATATTCCTTGAATATCCTGTTGCTGTCACACACCAAAGGTGTTTGGTGAGGTGGACATGGATACTGCTGATGAATGGAGATGAAGCCTATAGCCCTCATGTGAAGAATGACAGCCAGGGACATTGGCAGTCATCAATGCCAAGGAGAAAAAGGAAGGAAGTGAGTTAAGCACCAATAAAAGTTCTTAAGTGCCCATGCATGGCATTCCAGTTTTTGACATATCTCTGCCATTTCTGCAGATACTGACACCATTCCCACACCCACTTGTAGTGCTCAGCCATGTGATCCTGCCTTCCAAAATTGGAAAGGATCTGTGCACTCCACATGTTTCTACAGCACTCCCTCCAAAAGATGCTCATTTCACTAATTCTTCTGATATGGCCACCTCCACATCAATCATTTCACTTGTCCCCTTTGCTAGGGACCATGCCTATGTATATCTACCAGGAGTTCCTACCAGCTTCCATCCTGAAGTGTCCTGGTACATCCCATCATTGTCTGCCCCCTCTCAGCCCATCCAGCTTGGACAGTGCATTCTTTTTGTCAGTATGATGACCTCTAGGAGGATGTTCCTTGGATGCTTCAAGTCTGTCATTCACTTGGAAAGGTCTTATGTGATCATTTCAGTCTCTCCAGTCCAAGAAGCATATGGATCCTTCCTCCCTGCTCCCTGCAATGTCTTCATACCAATCTCATCTGTCATTCTTCCAAAATTGCAACAGCTACAGTATACTCTACTGTTCTCCACTCTCCTTGATCACATCCATGATGAGTATGATGCACATCTTGCCTTCTTATTGCAAGATACAGCAGAAGACACTCCCCATTCATCCTCTCTTCCAACAGAGCCTCATTCATGAATTTTGATTTGCTTCACTGAGAGGATGGTTTGGGGGGGAAAGTTGTGATCCCCTATGCTCCTGTCACCCCACAGACCCCCAAAGCTTGACCCCTGTTGACATCTGACTCACCCTGTCTGCTTTTGGATGTACTATATCAGCATCAGATCAGCATTGCCTCTCTGTCATCCCACCTTGGCCTAGAAGCAATCTCTTCAAGATGTGACATGCACAGCCTCCCCCTAATGTGATTCCAGTGTGCTTCCCCAGTTTCTGACATTACTTGACTCATACTTTGACATTCTGACTGTCCTTGACTCACCTATTGCCAATACTTACCAATCTTTTGACTTTGCTTACTGATTCTTTGTTTTTTTTTGGCTTACTTGTCCTTACCAATGCTCACCAATGCTTTCTAAGACAATTACCCATTGCTTACATTCCTTACTCATCAGTTACCAATCACTTACCAAGTGTTTGCACCTTGTTTTCCATAGGCAACACCCCTGTACTGTATATAAATCACTGTACTTAGATAGCAAAAGAAGAAGACATCAGAGAGCCCCTCTTGCTTGCATTTTATCATCTCTCAGTGAAATCATTCATCAGCTTCAATAGTTGAGACTTTATTAAGGGTCTAGCTATTGTCTACTTTGCTTATCATCATCTATCATCAATATACTTCGCTCCAAGTCCTCCCTGAGCTCAGTGCAGCTTAGGACATTGAATTAAGTTGTCATCCATCCTTCTGTAGGCTGACAGCAGTCTACCCTATCACTTCCTCTTGCATTCCTGCTCCTTCTTTGTCAGGAGCACCCCCAACCTTCAGCACTCATCTTTGAGTGTTATAGCTTGTAAAAACTCACCCAGATAACAGGTTCCACATCTAGATACTGCATAGGCACACCACCACTTGCTCTTATTGTCATTTGTGTTGGTTTTGGTTGGTTTCCACCACTGAACCAACACTTTGACTCACATTTCATGCAGAAGATGTATGTGCATCCCTCCATTGCTCTGCATATTGGCAGAGCTTGTCTTTGTCACATGCCATCCAGTTTTTGAAGTCTGTCCAACTGTAGTTTGTCTTGTGGTAGCAGCTGCAAACAGTGCAGAAGAACTGACTCCCAATTCCAGTGAAAGTGGCAAGGTGGCAAGAGGCAGAGAGATCACAGACAACAAGGGCAGTGGCACTACATTGTGGGGAGCAGGTATCTGCTACCTAGTATGATGGTGTGGGCTCCAGCCTAGGGATAGGCAATCTGAAGGGGTGAGTTTGACCCAAGGGGAGTTGATCTAGCTGTAGGAGGACAGTAGGGAGGGAATGTGACTGAGTCATGCAAGTTGATCAACCTGTAAACAAAAAGCACAATAGAATAATGGGTAGACAAGCCTTGAGCTGGCCTAGACAGTGTCACAACTGTGCCTGCTACTCAGCACTAGGCAGGGGAAAGGGAAGGGGTTGTGTTGATGTTGTTACTTCTGCTCTCTCTCTGTCTCTAACTTGGGGGCTTCAAAATTGTTATTTTCCTGTCAATGAAGACAGGTATAAGTGTAGCTACATGTGAAGTATGTAACTATGAAGTAAGCAACATCAAAGGTCAAAAGATTGACAAGAAATGATGGGAATTAGGTGAGATTGACATAATGATGGCCATGAGGCCAGAATGTCCCAACTTTTTTGCACACATCACAAGACATTACAATGTAAGTTAAGGTCCCACTTCCCACCCTGCCTTCTAATGCATGCTAATGGTGGAAAAGTTTATAATGATGATGTTATAATGACATAAGAATGACAGTGGGTTTCATCATCACTGCCCAATGTAGTCATTATATTTCCCTTGAAAGGCTATTTAAGGAGAGAGTGTTGTAAGGCATTACAATGAGCTCTGTCACCATCAACATGCCATACTGTCATTATAACACCCTTAAAAGGCTATTTAATGTATGTAGCTATGCTAAGGGATTATGACAGGCTACTGGCACCTGCCAACATGTTGACACTCATTATAATTTCATATTTATCATTATGATGCTACCTTCCACTCTACCAATGTTGACTCAGGTCAATGTAACAACATTTTTCTTGTTCTCATTCTTTTATTCTCATCACAATTCCCAATCATTTTTTTTAAAAAAAAACATGAGTGTGCATGGCATTGACTACAGCATACTTAACCACATGGATATAGGTTGTAGTACCCAAACTTGAGGCTAATATAAGAGGACAAAACAATGATGCAGTGATTCCAAGTAGGTGCAGGGTATCTATCAGGGAATAAGGAGTTCATAGCATGTAGGACTTGAGGAATCTGATGTGTTTGACTGGTGTCAAGTCAGTGAGCTGCAATAACTTAAAGCAGCAGTGACCACATACCTGCACTGCCAAAACCTTGCTGCAGGTCAGACAAATAGCAATCCTGGACCAGCACATGGAGGGTTGGTGGGCAATGTGACAAGTGTGCACAATGGCTCAGTATAGGAATACTGGGGATGGTTGAAGGGAAAGGAAGTTGGCATCATCATCAGTGTCAGTGGTGATTCCATTTTGTCATTGGGGGCAGTGGGAAACTGTCAACATTTAACAAGGGCCAGTTAATAATAATAACTTGATGGCACAATGGTGATGGGTACTTACTGCTGCAATGGTATGGGTGAAACTGCCTGACAAGTCAGTGGTACAGATGATACCCATGATGATGGTCATGGTAAGAGTGTGGAAGCAAGGAAGTCACCATGTGTATATATTTACAGTCCATTGGATTATATAATAATTCCCATCAGCTAGGTTTCAATACCTTACATTGACAGACAAATTGGCTCAT